GGGACCTGAACCTGTTCAGCCTCCAAAAGAGAAGGCTGAGGGGGGATCTAGTGGCCTGTTATAAACTAGTCAGGGGGGATCAGCAGGCATTGGGGGAGTCCCTGGTCCCCCAAGCACTGCCAGGAGTGACCAGGAATAACTGTCACAAGCTGGCAGAGGGTAGATTTAGGCTAGATATCAGGAGGCGCTACTTCATGGTCAGGGTGGCTAGGATCTGGAACCAACTTCCAAGAGAAGTGGTGCAGGCTCCTACCCTGGGGGTTTTTAAGAGGAGGTTAGATGAACACCTTGCTGGGGTTGTTTGACCCCAGTACTCTTTCCTGCCATGGCAGGGGGTTGGACTAGATGATCTACTCAGGTCCCTTCCGACCCTAGAAACTATGAAACTATAAAGACAGGTGGTGGGCCAGCATTGTGACCGGGGCTGGGAGTTTGCCCTGTCACACCTCAATATCTAACAGAGACTGATTTGGGTGGGTCAGGTGCACAACATTGTCACTGATGAGCAATAAATTTTGTTCAATATCTGTAAGAAGTTATTATAAAATCTAAATACATTTTTGAAGCTTCATGTTTAGACAACCATTTCACTGCTATGATTTAAGTATGTGATATGTTTTCTCTGATCTGATTTAATACCAGAAGTGTTTACAACAATTCTTAGCCTTTATTTTAACTACATATTTAGTTTTGGTATATTACTGCAATCTTTCCTATTTGTTACCACAGTAACACAGGTAGCATATTCCAATAGTAAGTATCAGCCTACCTTATTCCAATAGTAAGTATCAGCCTACCGGATTACTGAACAGGAAACATAGGCAGACAAGGTTCTTTGGATAGATGCGGTATCTTTTATTAGACTAACCAAATAGTTGGAAAATTTGTTCTTTGCAAGATTTTGGGCACAAACACCCTTCTTCCGGCACAGGAAAAGTCTGTTGGTGTTTGTGTGCTTTCCTGGGTAGAATAGAAGCCAAAATGCAAAATGCAGATCTGTGAAAATGCAAATACGTGGCAGTAAGGTTCAAAGGGAATGGGAGACACTAAGTATGAAAAGGTAGTTGGGGGTGAAGTTCGTAGGCTCGTCTATGAAAGGTGTTTTGTAAATTCCCTTTGAGTATTAGAACTGACAGATTGGAGAGAGAGTGCTTTTCTTGTGAGAAATTTGCACCTACAGGTAATTGGGTATTTTTGTCTTCAGTAGATTTTTTTGTGTGCATTCATTCTGGTACTCGGTTCTTGTTTGGTTTCTCCTACATATTTTCCATCAGGGCATTTAGTACACTTGATGAGATATATTACATCTCTGGAGGTGCAGCTGTAAGATGCAGAGATGCTGATGGTTCAGTTGTGGGTTGTACTTATTGTGGGAGTGGTGGAGATGTGTTGACAGGTTTTACATTTTTGTCCCGGCATGGCCTGGATCCATTCGGTATGTTTTGGACCATAGGAAGTTTGCTTCTGGTGATGAGGTTGGCAAAGTTTGGTGCTTTTTAAAGGCCAAGATGCGTGGTTCTAGAAAGATCTCTTTAAGAGTTGGGTCTTTTTCTAGTGTATGGGTTGTAATTGTTTGAGGATTTTCTGCGTAGATTCCTGGGAAGGAATCTTGACCATTATGTCATACCTAATGGTGTGTGATCTGTGAGGGTTCTCTTTTTGTATTGTAGCAATTCTTCACGTAATATCTAGGTGGCACTTTCAAAAGTACAATCTCTCTCTCTGGAGGAGTGTCCTTGTTGGGTGAAAGCCCTTTTGAGATTTGCAAGGTGACAATCATAGGTATTCTCCATGCAAATTTGGTGGTATAGGAGGGCTTGGCTGAATAAGAGACAGTTTTTCTTCACTGGACCTATTGGGTTTAAGACTCATCCTAGATCCTAAATAAAAGTTCTAAATATTATATGATCCCTTGTTCACTTTCAAGCTTTGCCAGAAGATCCATTATGATAAAGCAGCATTGGGATTTTTTTGATATAAGTGGTACTGAGATGACTCACTCTTGTTTATAGTTTTAGAAAATGAGAGAATAGTTACAGTTAGTGCTGAGGTACCTAGTATTGAGGTGACTGTTTCTGAGCAGTCTATTTGACAAAGGTCTCTCAGTTTTCAATTGTATCCCCTTTTCAGTAGAAACTCAGATACTCACTCAAAAGAATGGGAAGAAAAATCAGATTAAGGGAGAGTAATAAATAGTTGGTCACTCTAAATGATTTCTTTAAAGGAATAGCTGTGACTTGGGTTGAACAGTTGCCAGTAAAAGCCAGTTTAATTAAAGTTGTGCGTAGAAAGATTTCTTCCTTGTAGCCCATCTCTGACTCCTGGTTCGATCAATTTAAACTAAAGAGAGGTGTAACATTTTACATTTCAGGTGAAAATTGAACTTCCCACCCAGCTCCATACGAAACACCACATTCTGTTTTCATTTTATCATGTTACCTGTGACATAAATGCAAAAGCTAATGCCAAAAAGAAAGAGGCACTGGAAACACCAGGTACCTGCTGTAGACTTACTTTTAAATAATTCCTTGCTAATTTTGTTTGCATTAGATATATATAATTATAGAAATAATTATATATATACACAATGATGTGTGTTCATCTAAGGTTTAAGGATTTAATAATTTCTATTTGTGGCTATTATTTACTCTGTTCTTGTGCTTTAAAGTGTCTTATTGATTTGCTTTTGTGTGCAGTTGGATACGCGTGGCTTCCTTTATTGAAAGATGCCCAGTTAGCTTCTCAAGAACATAACATTCCAGTGGCAGCCAGTTTGCCTCCCAGTTACTTAAGCCTTCAAGATCCTGCAAGTGGAAAGGTATTAAGTAATATTTGCATGTTCAATGGAGTAGCAAGCTAGAAGTTGCATGCGGTTTAAAACAATAGGGCCACATTCTCGTGTATACCTCTCTGGCAACATAAAGGGTCTTAGTGTAAATAATAAACTGGCCCCTACTGTTTAGAGTCTTTACACGTGTATCTCTCATTAATTAAGCTAGTATACATAACACAAAGTCATGGGCCAAATTTTGCTGCTTACAGAAGTTTGCTTGGGTTTATCTCACCTAAGTGATTTATTGTCTCCAGAGCTCTTGGAGGCAACATAACACATAGTGGCCCTTACTCCAATTTTAAACCTGATCTTCTACACAGTCTGATAACTGTGCGTCCTCAGATCTGTGAGTGGGACAAGGATTCCCACTGATCTTTAAACTCAGCAGGGGAGCTACCAGCAGTTTTTGCTCCCTTGCACTCACTCTGCATAGTGGGTGCATCTACACACGCGCTCTACTAAGGAGTTAACTAATTAGTTTTGCAGTAAAGTCTCATGGTCTATACATGAGCCTGCATTAGAGTACAGTAAATTAATTAACTGCTGTAGGATAGTACTGTTGGGGACACGCATGTAGACTGTGACAGGGGCTGGATGGGGCATGGGGGTACTACAGTGTGGGGGGGCTGCCTGCACCTTGTGCCCTAGCCAGCTGTTCTTCTTCCCTCCACTGCCACCTGGACCCTGAGGCTGACCCCCCGGGCCCCTTGCCAACCAAAGCTGCTCTGCCCTGGCTCAATGGGCTGCTGTCCTAGGCTCACATGTAAACACTGCGCCTGGGAGCAGCTGACTCTGGCACAAGCTGCACCACAGTTTATCACATCAGCCCAATTGCATGTATAGATTCACCCAGTGAGAACAGAACAGCTCCAGGGATAATATTCTATTTCATTTGGCACTAATAAGACTGCATAGTACCATTGTGACTGCTGGCACAGTAACCCATTTTTGAGTATTTAAAATAATGCAGCTTACAGCATTTGCACAAGCCTCAACATTCACAACAGTGCAGCAAAAAGTGACAATGTTGAACTGAACAAGCATGGAAATAATTGAAGAATATTTTTTACAGCACTGTGCAAGTGACATAAAGTGGGTAGACAGTGGGAAGCCACTTTTCAAAGTGTCTTCATTTGTTGTATCAACGGTAAATACTCAGGTGAGTTTGAATTTTCTTTTGGCTATCTTTACCTACTTATCAGAAACAAGAATTACAAAAAAAATCAGGCAAATGCTCTTAATATATCTCATACCTTATCCAAATCTATGTTTCTAACATTAAAGATTTTCTGAATGTGGGAGGGATAAGGAAGTAGAGCAAAAATACTCCTTTTCTTACAAGTGAAGAATTATTTAAGATGATACAGGAGGAAATGGCCAGAAATTAAGAAAGGGAAAATTGTAGATGAATATCAGATAAAAAATTTCTAACATTCAAGTGTCATCAACCGTGGAAAAGCCCTATTGCTCAAAACACTTAAAATACATTGGACTAGTTCTACGAAACATACTATAAAAAGCAATGTTTGTACTAGTAGGTGGAAAGACTCAGTGGTCTATCCCTTATCTTTCTTTTCTATATCTGATTCCTGTGATTCTGACATGTTAAGAGTCCTATATGGTACTAAATAAACTTTCTGAAATCCATCCACTGTTACACATATGATTTGCAGTCTGTGCTGCAATATCTATTAACCTTGATATACTGTTTACCATTTTAGGATCCATATTTGAATAACTTTTTCCAGCAGTGCCAAAAAAGAGAAAAGGATCTCTCAAACCCTCCTACCTCAAACTTTATCATCTCCTGTAAGGTAAAGTAGGCTGAAGTAGGTAAATAAAATTTAAGTGTGAAATTCTAGTGCTCTCTGAATTTACCTATTGCCTATTTATGTGGCAAGAAATGGACGTGATATAATCTCTTCCTGTTTGGATCAAAATATAGATCTCACTTCTGCTTATGTTCCTGAATTGATGTATGCCCTACAATGTATCCTTTATGAAATATGAAAATGAATGGGTGACAGCTGTACTGTATTATAGTAAAGGTGAGTAAAGCAGAGGAGTCAACCTTATCATATGCAACCAGCATGATGCATATGGATGGATCTAGAAAAGAACCTACAGTCTCAGAGGAAAGGAGGAGCTAAAATACTGAATTGCAATTATGAAATATATTATACTACTTTAATGATAGTCTGTGACATCTTATAACAATGTCAAGGTTTATAGATTATAGTACTGGGTTCTTTTTTCATTGCTAAATTTTCATACTTGAACATAATTAAGCTGAGTTAATTAAGATGTGCAGCAAAAGATAATTTTGCTGTAATGGTGGCTTTCTGGGCAACTGTTTAAAAATTCCTGCTAATTTTGTTTAATATATGTGAATGTACCTGAAAGTGATACATTTGATTTTTAAGTGGCATCAATTAGTGCTAGTTGATTTAGTATACAAGATTAATGAACATTTCTATAACCGAAGTCCCAGCTTCCACTAGCTATATTATCCTCTTTATTTGTGAGAATTCAGAAATCTACTGAACCTTTGAGAAAATATTTATATAGCCCCCAAAATTTTATCAATATTGGGATGGGTGATTAATCATTCAGAATATTAGAAGCATACTGTTTACTACTTGCTGCTTGCTCTTTGCTTCGTTAATTTATTTCAATCATTTAATCAAGAAGAAAATATTTTATTGTGTGAGTTAGGTGACCAATCATGATATAAATAGTGGATTACAAATGTTCAGATTTAACAGTTCATGACCAAGCCCTCAGCAGAAAAATACTTGGTTTCTATTCATGAGTCACCAGTACTTTTGAAACAATGAATAATGGTTATGAATAATTAAGTAATCAAAACACAAGGCTAAATTCATTAGAAGTATTATTTTTAATTAATAGCTCAATTTACTCTCTTACCAGTAAAAGATAATGGAGTGTCAAAGTCTAGTTAGTCTAGACTCTAGAGTGCACATATTTTTAACCAGGGTGATTTTGACTTGGTCATAGATGTTTACCCACAATGAAACTCTAAAATAGAAAAATAAATATGATCCCAATGCAATGTACAGATTTATATTTTAAATCTAGTCAGGGAGAAAACTCTCCTTTAATTCTAGTTTTATGTCATTATAACTCCATTGATTCCATTTAAATATCTGTTGGTGAAATCTGTATAACAAAGTGGAGAACCAGGACCACCTGCATGGTGACTTACACAAAGAAATCCCATTACTTTACCTTGTGTCTCTTACAGAATTTGCTGAAAATTGAGAAGATCCATGCAATTATGAATTTTCTTCCTGTGATCTTGAATCAGCTCTTCTCAGTTCTGGTACAAAATGATGTGGATGAGGTTAAAACTGCTGTGACCAGGTAACCAAAAATGTTTTATCTTTAATAGAACTGGGGGCAAATCCATCACAGAGGGCAAACAATCCGGAGAGTCCTTTTAACAAAGTTACACTTGAAATTTTGATTTTAAAACAAAATGAGTTCAGCCTTTTGAAAATGTCTGACTGCTAAGATAATACAGAGTTCAGCATGCAAGTCTGAGAGCTACATTAGAGTAAAACTTGTCGGTATAACATCACATCACTGGCAAATTGCACTTATAACACTAAGGGAGTAGAAGATTTCACCTCTGTGCCACCATAAAATTGTTTATGGCAGCACAAAAGGCAAGCAAACAGATATCCATGCCCCAAAATTTGTGCTGCTATTTTTCATTTGATATCTGTTTGCTTTAAGGCAGGAGAACACAGGCAGCCTGGAGCTAGCTACCTGTGTTCTCCAGCTGCCCTGGGCAAGTGCTCCCAGGGCTTCAAGGGCCTGATCCTGTGTGCCCTGGGAATTTCCATTCCTGGAGCATGCAGGATTGGGTCCAGAACGCCCTAGGAGTGCCTGCCTGGGTTTCCCCATTTGGGATTCCCTGGAACCATACCAGAGTCAGCTTTCCTTGTTTACAGAGATGTGCCCTGGAGATTCCCCAGGATGTGTCTCTACAAGTGAGGAGCACATTGCCCCATGTTCCATAGGGTCAACAGGGAGGAAAATGGGCAATGTGTGTTTCACCCAGTGAGATATATCAGCTGGCACCTCCTGGCACAGCTGATCCTCTTCATTTGGTGATATCTATTTATACCCTCACAGAACTATTGTCCCTCTACAAGTAGCACTTGCAAATCAGTTGACAACCCTCTGAAGTACTGGGCATCCTTGAACAGTGTTGAGCATCATCAGCTTTGACTTCATTTAGGTAGTGCACTTCAGCATGTCTGTCACCAAGAGAGTCAGATCTCCCCGTTCTGGACAGTTTCTAATGAAAGTATTTATGAAAGGACAGAACAGGGAAAGCATTATCCAATAAGTTAAGTCAGTTGCAGTTATTCACTAAGTGACTATAAGCTTCAGGAAATGCCTAATGAAAGTATCTTTATGATTAATAATAACCCTGAAATCAGAAAAATCTTAAGGGGCAAATAAAGTATGTGACAGGGGGGCAAGCTCAGGGCCAGGTTTCAAGCTTGACCTGCCCATCTATCTACACAAGCCGGTCTGCCCAGTCTCACCTGCCACGACCTGCTGGTTTAATAAATTAGTGTTTTAAATGGGAGGTTGTCCCTTATAATGCCTCAATGCCAGGGGACACTATCCACCACTCTGTACTGCCTGTATACCATGGCCCATGCCTTGCAGATGGCATCATAAGTTCCTACTGTGTCCAGCCCCAATAACATTCTAGTCTGGACCCCATCCTGATCAGGTGGTCTACTCTGCCCTTATTCTGGGCTGCTAAACTCCCTGCACTCTTCTTCCCCTCAGCAGTAGCCCCTCTCTGGGACTTTTGGCCACACAGGCCCTGGCCTCACCTCTAGGCCAGTCAGAACCCCAGGCCCCCTGGCATTCTGGCTCTTTTGACCCTTCTAGTCCTGGCCTCAGCATTGCCCAGTTAAGGATACCTTGACTCAGCCTTCTGAGGAGTTAGCCCACTTCCCCTTGTACAGGTCCACCTTCTCGGGCCTCTTCCAACAACAGTTGTGGGGGTGGGGTTTTAAGGCCCCCCTACCCACCTTTCACCAAGGAAGTAACTGACCTGGCATTTCTGGGGGACTGCTCCACCACGAGCAGCCTCACCAGGCCACCCATCCACAGCAGGGTGCAGTTTCAAGTCATACCTTGGACCAGGATCCTCCTGCCACCCCCATAGTTCCTGCCCTTACCTCCAAGATGTTACGAGGAGCAGCTCAGCCTGATGTTACCTTCTTGGCTGCTAGCAGCAAATTGATATCTCTGTCCTGTGGGCCTAATACCTAAAATGGCTGCTCATCAGAGCTGGCCTGCACCTCCAGACTGCCTGCTCCAGCCCTTAAAGTGGCAAGCACCCAGAAGTGCCCTGCCACAAAGTAATTACCAATGTATACACAGAAAAATAAAAACATGTTCTGTATTTTGTCTTAGCCTAATGTTCTTTTTGTTGTCATTTCCCCTAGCAGTTAAATCTACTACGGTAACCAGCAGGAAACACACATACAGCTTAGCTATTAGCAATTGAATTTTCAAGATATTTGTCTGTTTATACAGGCTACTTTTCAGAATCAGTGGAGAGAGAAGTTCATTACTAGATTTCAGAGTAATGATGTGAGACTCCTCAAGTTCACTTTAATGGGAGCTAGGGAGTTTGGCACTTCAGCAAGGGTTCTCAACACCTTGCAGAATCAGATGCCACATCACCATACACCAGAAATGATGACTGGAATGATCTTAGCTATGTCATTCCCCAGGCTGGTGGACAGCCTGTTCATCCCAAGGATGGTGGACTCAGTTTGCAAGGGAAAACTGTCAATCAGAACTCTTTCTATGAGGCCCATTTCTCCTTAATCAATTAATTAATAATTCCAAGTGGCACAATAGACTCTTGTCCCAACCCAGATTTTAAGTGTTAATTGTGGAGGGCTGGAGAACTGTATTAGAAAAAAACAAAGTAGCATAATAATTGTGCTGAAAAATGAAAGCATGCCCTAGGTTTATGCTCAAATGTTTGTGCCCACATGGAAAAAAGTGGCTTCTCAGTGTTTTCCTCCTTTTCTGCATACCAGTTTTGTAATAACATTATTGATGTCAACAGAAACATGTGCATCTGTGCACTCGCAAATCCTATGCTTGCCATTAGTTGTTTTGTCCAATACATGTGTGCATGTAGTATTTCGTTTTGAATAGCGTGAAGTAGCTTGCATTAAGTAAATTAAAAGAAAGAAACCAAAGAACATGAGCTCAGAATTGTTCATGCATGTGAAAAAACACATCTTTTCTATTTTGTCTTGGTTATGCTTGCAGTCTAGTCATGCAGTCATTTCTATCTTGACTCCTCCAAAATGACCATAAAGATCAGAGCCTTGGTGAAGAACTTGATCATTTTTTTTCCAAAGAGCACCGGTCCCTTTAATAAAAACAGTAGTAAAAATAAATGAAACACTGTTTGCAAAACATCAAACTTAAAGAGCTAGAAGGCTGTTAACAGAAAGCATTCAAGCCTATAAGCTGGCTGTTATCTAACTGTGACATGTATAACACTTGTCTGTAGGTCACAGTCAGGTTGGTTTACCTGACCTGTGTACATTTTTAATTTTACTGTTTAAGATGACAAAGATATAACAACACAAACATTTAGATTTGGGATGTAATGTGCTGTGATGTGATGTGATGTGCTAGCTTTCAAAAATTGTGAGCTGCTGAAATAACCCATTTTTCCTCTTCTTGCAACATACAGGCAGGCCATTTTTTAAACTTGGCAGAATAGCTACAGTGAATCCTGCCTGAAATGTCCATTCAGTATACTGAACACATTGGATAATTACTAGTAGTGGTTTTCCAGTACGTTTGGAGCAGTCTTGTTTGCTGTATTGGTGGATTCTTGAAATGCCCTTTGAAATGTCCTCCAAAGATTTTAACATTCCAATAATGTAATGGCATCAGCATCAGAACTGTTACACTAGTTGTAACTGAATTTATTTTGTTGGAATTACAGTAATGTTTTAGATGAAGGCGCTAATAAAACATTGTGATCCATGCTGCACCTGTATGAAGCACCTGTGAACTGTGGCTTCTGCCACAGTTTGCTGATGTGCTAATAATTGCTTGGATTAAATCTCTAATGGGTAATTTTGAATCATTGTAATGTAATAAAATAAAAATAATGATGTTCTTTCTTGTGCTGCATGATGGCTCAATACCTTTATTTTTCAGGGTTCTCACTGACATTGTTGCTAAGTGTCATGAAGAACAACTAGAACATTGTGTCCATTCTTATGTAAAGGTACGAAATAGCCAAAGGCCTTTCATTATCTCCTCAGAGTTATATGTTCTTTCTGCTTTCTCTTTATGACACTTTTTGTAGTTTCCCCAGTATTTGGATTGCTTTCTCATACCCTGTCAGGTTGCACAGTCTAGTGATAAAGGGAGCAACCTGGGGCCAGTGAAAACTGAGTTGAATTCTCTGCACTACCACTACCTTCTGTGGCAACTATGGTTTCTTTCTGCCTTGGTCCTCATTTGCAAGATGGGGATAATAGTACTTCCCTGTTTAGCAGGGTGAAGAATAATACATAAAAGATTGTGAACCCCAGGTACTATAGCCATGGTGATCTGATAAGTACCTAACACAGATTGATTTATGTATTGTTCAGTGGCATATTTTGCTACATTTGCCTAGACTGTATTGGGTTTTATTGCATCGTATTGATGGACTGCGTGTATTTGCATGACGTGTTTCTCATATGGTGTTTGGAGTATTACAAATGGCCAAATGGTAAATTTTTATGGAAATGTTCCTAGATGCTTTTCTTTGGTATATTTTCCTACTTTGTAGTCTTAGTTTTTTTTTGTTTCCTCAGGGCATATTTTTATTTTTCAAGTTATCATATAGCTGTACCTGCTTTGGATATAAGAAGTAATTTACTTGCTTCTATGAATCCTTTCATGTGTTCATAACTGTGCACTGCTCACTTGTATTTTCCACTTGGTTCTCATTTTTATGTGCATATATGCCTTTGCAAAACAGGCTATTTTGATCTTATTGATCAAACTTATAATGAACTTAAGATGATATTTGGGAAATCAAAGGTATGGTGGCTATACATTATCTTTACTCTACTGTTATCAATTGAGTTCACCCAAATAAAGCAAATAAAGGTACAGGCCAGCAAGCACCTAAATAAATAATATAAATAGTCTATCTGAGGGGAAAATCTTATAAATTGAGAAGCTTATGATAGAAGTACACACTATAAAGAGAAGGATGGCATAACCATTGATACTGTTTTGACAAAGGCCCTGATAAACAAGGATAGGCAAGAGAAGTTCTTGACTTTTGGAAAATATGTAAGTACGCAGTATTAAATGAATCATCACTTGGCACTTCAGTTGAGTCAACTGAGGAGATATCATTGCCTAAATAATTTAATTTAATAATTTAATGTACGTTATTTTTGTATGTAGTTTATTTGGTCACTTTTTGCAGAGTGGCAGCCCACAGGGGGAACTATAGTAGCTATTGTTTGAGAAAAATAAAATTTAATACTGTTTTGCCTCTTTGTTCTTGTCCCTTGTCTTTCTCACATTCATGAGATAGTAAGAGTAAATACAGAACATGCCAGAAGTGAGATAAGGGAAATTAATACAATTCAACTAGTTATGGAAATGAATCATGAGTGACACATGCATGGACTTGTTAATCCCTGCATAGCATGCTGATTCATTCTGAAACAAGAGAGGGTTTTACAGAACCTAGCAAATGCCAACCTAAAAGATAAAAAACTGTCCATCAGGGCAAATGAAACCATGATGGAAACAAATACGTGCCATTAACTAACACTCCAGTCTTCATGGGTACAATAATGAATGTATGACACAAGTTTATTCAAGCTAAACACTACTAAAGTAATTTCCATCATGTACAAAATTCCTTTGTATTTTATATTTTTGCAAGTCATGATTTGCATTTAATTTTTAGTTAACTGGTTTAAATTTTAAGTAACTCTGTGTTCAAAGGGCACACTCCTCGTCTATTTAGGTTAGTTAAGAACACAGTGGTTTGAAATATTGTGTTACTCATCTCTCTAATTGTGATCTGTTGAAAGGCCAAAGGCAGCTACTACTGCTTCATGCTTCAGCAGCAGTTAAAACAAACTTATGGCTAAACATTAGTGCATGCACAAGAGGATTGCTATTGCTTTTGAGGATAATGTAAGCCAAGCTACAAGTATGCTTATACTCATTGGTTACATTAATTTAGTAACTGATTCATGAACTTGTTGCAGTTCTTCATTTCTTAGCTTAGGACTTGGGAGACCAGCTGTCCTGGACTTCCTCTGTTACCCTAAGCGAGTCACATAGGACTGGATTTTCAAAGGTCCCTAAAGATGCAGATGTACACCTAGTAGCATTTTCAAAAAAGTCATTGAGTGGTTAGTCTGCTAAACCACTTCTGAAAATCCCAGTAAGCACCATGTGCATCCTTAGCAGCTAAAAAGCTTTGAAAACCTGACCCATAGAATCTCTTTCCCTCAGTTTGCACAGGAGATAGTGTTCCCCTACCTCTCAGAGGGTTTTATGAAGAAAAGCATATTAAGTCTGTGATTAAGATTGGTCTAATAAAAGATATTGGATTTACCCAAAGAACCTTGTCTGTCGTAAAATTGTGAGGCATTCATTTAGTAATGGGGATCATACAGGTACAAGGAAATGGCAAGGTCCACTTAACGAATACATGCTGGTTAATCTTGTGAATGTCTGCTTTGGAAAAGGCTGCATATTGATAGGAATATTACTTGAATATACCATTTGTTTTATCCACCTTAGTACTTCTATTTAGTACTCTTTGAAAATAAGATTTTTAATAATCAATGTAGTTAAGCTGCCCTTGTCTCTGAGAGGAAGAAATAGATCCAGTCACCAAAATATTAGTAAGAAATAGGTCAGGGGAAGAAGACTGGTAGTAGACTTATGTCCATGAGGAGTCTAGCAGAGGAATTCTGATCCTTGGGCTATGATCTCTGGAAGAGGATGCTATTCCCCTTCTCTCCATTCCAGTGGGTACTCTACCCCTTTCAGGATGAAGAGTTCCTATCAAGTCAGCAGTTACCATTGGAAGAAAGGAGCAAGGGAAAAGGTGCCCTGACTAGGTGGGTGAAAACCCTCCTTACTTCCTTATTTATTGTTCTTTCTTTCCTGGTTAGAAGTGAATTCAGGCTTAGAAGTAAATTCAAGAGAAATTCTGATACCCAAATTTAAAAAATGGCCTATGCACCAAGGATTTTAAGCAGAAATTCCTTTCGATTCAAATCTAGTTGAAATTAATGGGGAGTTCCGTTTAAAACTCAGGATCAGTAGAGGAGAAGTGTTGTACCGTTGTTCTTAGGTGAATTCGTATGAATTCATGTTTTCAGTCAAGGTATCTCAGCAGTCCAAAATCATCACTACGGCTGTTCTTACAAGATGTGTTATTTATACTCTACCTACTCTTGGCTGGACTTTTATACATTTTTACATTACTGTTATTGATTTTTCTTTAGTACGTGTTCAGAACCAAGTCATCCGAAGAAAGGACTGTTCATGAGGAGCTAGCCAAGAATATGACTGGCCTTTTGAAATCAAATGACCAATTAACAGTGAAACATGTCTTAAAGGTGAATAATACAGATTTAAGCTCTAGTATATTTCACGATTGCTCTCACATTTTCCACTTCAGCTTCCCTTGCTCTTTTCCCTATGTACTTGGCACATATCAAAGTCCATAATGATCCAACAGCTTTATCAGGCTTTCTTTGTTGTCATGCAAATTCTCAACATAACCCATTACACAGTGTACAGTGGCTTTACATGGTATAAATCCTCCTCCTGGATTTCTTTTCTGTTATTGCTCAGCCACTGTGAGAGATACAATTCTCCCATAATTCAGTGAGAAATAAAATGTTAATTTTTAACATTTTATTATTTTTTAACCTCACAAGAAGTGTCAGGAATCTCATCTTGAATACTTCTTTGCAAGTAAAATAGAATATGTAGTCAAGTGAATATTGGGCACTTAGTTTTAATACTGTTACTATTAGTTGATAGTCATCAGCAATCATAATTGTTTTGATAAGTATTAAAAGCTGTTAGTTTATTTGTTTAACTAACTCACCATAAAACTACAACATATATACCAAACTTGGCCTACCCTCTATGCCATGTCTAGGAGGGAACTGGCTTAAGAGCTATCTATGCCAACATTAGAACAGCTGAGGACTTCCCATAGAGCAAGGAAGTTCTCGTTTATCCAGATCATTCTGGTTCCCAGCTCCTATCTACCACTAGTGTGGCAGGACTTTCAGGGAATGTAGGAGAAACTGGCCATTAGTGCACATTTGATGCAGGAAATTAAATTCCCACTATTTAGACTTGTGGGCAGTTTTTTCTGTATTCATAGTTGACATGTTTTTTGAGGTGCTTATCCATGTTAACTCCTCTTATACATTTTAACAGTCCTTTTATTTCAATTAAAAGCTACAGAGATTGAAGTCTTCCAACCCATACTACCATCTCAACATAGAAGCTTTCATTGTTCTCCCACCAGTCTTCAGGCATTTGATTCTCTATATGTACATTCAGACTTGAACCTCTCTGTTGAGATGATTCTACATTTGTTATGTTTGATGTATTTCTGCCATATCTATTTGTAAACTAGACTTGAATTATTGCAGACATTGTTATGAATTAAAGTAATAATTTATTTACTACTTATTTCTTAATAAGGAAGAGATCACAATTGCCAAGTGCCTAATTCAGCAACGTGCTAAATGGCTTCTGTTCCCAAATGAAGTCAAACAGAGCTGAAGTTGCTTAGTTTCATACAGGATAAGTTCTCAAAGCTAGGAACAGACATTGCATTTGTACCTGGACAGACTGTGCCTGTGTTTGTCTTGGAACAGAAATGTCCTGGGATAGGTACACATATCACCATTTCATAGTCATTAGACAGTAGGTCTGGAAGGGACCTCACAAAATCATTGGGTCCAGCCCTCATTTAATCAAGATTTAGTGAGCAACTAAATTCAGTGCTACTTTCTTGCCATTGATTCAGTGATGCAATCTCAGGACAGCTATTCTAACACATTTTGTAATGTCTTGGGATAATTTGTTAGTACTTCTTATTCTGTGAAGCTTTTTTAAATTCTATCCCAAGACAATGGACATGGGATAAAGTACTTTATCCCAGGAAAAATGTGACATTGCGCAAGTGACTTAAATACTTAATAGCCAAATGTCAACTACTTTAATTTGACTGTAGTGAAACTGTTGTCATTATGTACAGCTGAGAAACACAGACCACTCCTAAGGGAAAGAATGTTGAATTGAAAATACCACAAAACAGTTCATTATTTAATGCTGATATTATTATGTGACTTCAATTTTAAACTTTTTTTTAACAGCACTCCTGGTTCTTCCTGACAATTATTTTAAAATCAATGGCCCAGCACTTGGTTGATACAAGCAGAATACAGGTACTATTAACTATAAACTAAATCGGTTTATATCCAAGTATATTTAATCATAAAGGCTAGGCACAGACATTCAGAAAGTGTGAGCCTGAATTGATTCAGTCTTTGCAGATTAGTCTAACCTGGCTAGGCTGAACTGCTTTGAAACAGGACAGACATTCTCTCTGCACTGAGGAAATCCAGGTACGTGCCTGCAGTGGCTCAGGCTAGAAGCTGTGGGGCACTAGAGCATCCCTCCCTTCCCTTCCAGGGATGAGCTGAGGGGGGTATGGCCAGCCCCCAGCAGGACTCTCTCATTAGGGATGTCTGCCTGCATGGTCCCAGGCTTTTCCGTACTGGCTGCTCAAGGGGTGGGACTATTGCCAGCCCCACGCTAGCACTCTGAAGCAAGGGGGAGGCGGGGGGTGCAGTGAATGCATTGTTGATGATATGGAGCTTTTCAGTCTCCTCCCTGCTTCATCATACTGTATGCAGGAAACTGACAGGTGAGCAAGCCAGCCCAGAGAGTCTGTATCACCCCATTAGCAAAGCAATAGCTTCTCTCCATTACTTCAAACTTCTTAAACAGCTTACCGGGGTGACCTGTTGATTAGCTGTAAAAGCCCTAAGTGGTCACTGTTCTGTCTGCCTATCCCAGTGAAATTGGAGACAGACACACCTCTTAACATTAGCTAGCATACCACATGCCTAGGGTCCATGGGGCTGGGGTTCGTGCTGTGGGAGATGGGGGGAAGGGAGGGAGAGGGGGATTTCCTGCTTGAGCAGTGAGGGATGGTGGGAGGGAAGGGCAGGGGGATGCCAGGCAGACCTTGCTGTGTCTGCAGTCTCTGCCAGAGCCTTACACAGCATTAGCTAGCATACCACATGCTGGCTATGGTCCATGTTGTTGGAGAAAGGAGGAAGAGATCTCTGCTTAATCAGTGAGTGGTGAGACGGGGGGAAGAAGGGAGCATGGGGAGGCCAGCAGACCCTGCTGTGCCTGCAAGTCTGTGCCAAGCTCCAGCCAGGAAGCAGAGGGGAGGGGACAGCCCCATCTAGCCCAGAGAACATGCTGGGACATGCTGGGGGACTCCCAAAACACCACTCCCCACCACCAGCAAACCAAAGCTGCCCGACGCCAAGCTGCAGTCACCTTCATGGTCATCTGCTCCCCACCCCCAAAAAACTCCAATGATCTCAGTGAAGCCTCCCCAATGTAAAATCGGAATAGAATGGAAATACAATAGAAATAGAGTAAAATTACTTTAAGATTTAATGACTAACACACTTCTATATTTTGCTTAGGTTCCTCGAATTCAGAGATTTCCAGAATCATTCCAAACTGAACAGAACACACTTATAATGAACTTGGCAGACCATGTTGTTTGGAAATACAAAGATGCTCCTGAAGAAACAAAAAATGCAAACCACAGTGTTGCCAGATTTCTCAAGGTGAGATGTTGCATTGCTACAGCATGCACATAATCAGCCATACATAATTCAGAGTCAAGGAAATGAAACTCTATAAGTTAAAAAAAACAACCCTATCTGAATGATAACTGAGTTTACAGAATCAGTTTTGATTTATAGTACAGTTGTTTCTTATATGTGCTACTAGGTCTGTGGGAGTCCAATAGCTGTAAATAAATCTTCTAAATAAATTGCCGTTCATATATATTTATCTAGAAATTGGGATCAAGTTAGCACATATTATTGTACATGGTTAATGTAACTATGAAAGAAAAGTCTGCTGATGAATGGAACCACTATTACAAAATCAAACTAACATGGTTTCTTGACCTACCATATAACTGTGTGACTGGAATACAGACTGGCTAGACATATATAAGAATAATAACGGGAAACAGTTTTCACATACCTGTGTAAACATATTGCTGGTGTTCTGTAAGCTACTTGTAACAGTCAAGTAAAGCTGCTGTATCAGGATATGCTATTATATTCCTCTAACAAATTATTGGGGGGAGGGTTTCACAGTGCAGCAATGGTTATTGCTGTTATAGTCGTTCATCAGTTTTGTCTGTGAAACTAAAATGGTGACAACCACAAGCACAACATAACAGTCTCAAAAGTGCCTAACTGACTTGGGAACCTAAATCTTTTCAAAGTCTAAGTGTTGTCAAAAGGCACCTGTTAAAATGAATAGGTGATCCACCCCTACGTGGTTTTGAAAATCTGAATAAGTGCATCTTTTAGGCACCTAAATACCTCTAAAAATTTGATCTCTAACTGGATTTGCAAAAGCACTTAAGTGGGTTAAGAGGAACCAAACTTATTGATTTAGGGAATTAAGGACCTAACTGAAGCTCTTACAATAATTTACCCATAGTCTATTGCCTGTGCCAGCTAAGTGAAGCAGTATATAAATCAATAATATGTAGTTTTTTATGCTTTTTTTTCTCACTGTTGTTTGAGTGTCAGTAACCTTTTGCATATAGGGTGGGATTTGGAAAGAATCAAATGCTCTGAGCACTCTTTTATTTACTTGATAGAACAAAATATGCCTACATATTTTTTTCTCTGTATAACTCCTCAGTAAAATAAGAGTAGTGCTAAGATTGTCTTTTTTTATTTTCTCCTCATATCCCGCAATTGTTGGACATCCTTATTCTCTGATTTAAGTACAGGATGTGAAAGAATTACAACTGGACAGAGTGTGGCCTGTTCCACATCTGGATAGCTGAGAACAGGAATGATAAAAAAAAATCTTGTGACCCAGTAGCACATACATAGACTGCCATGTACAGTGTATGCTGAAAATAGTGGTAAGAGGATCAGGGTGAATCTTCTTGTAACAGATTGAAACACAGCTTCTGGGGAAAATATATAGCAACATTTTTATCAAGAAAACCAACTGTACAGAGGTGTAATTCCCTCTTGGCACACTTCACTTAACAAATGATAAATCCCTTCTGGTGTAGTATGGAAACCTTATCTGCTGCAAATTTATCTGGCATGTTCTGTGCTTATCCAATGCAGTATGTCATTTGGAGAGTTACATTGGCTTGATTCTCTAGCTGTGTTATTGCAAGGTTGCTAGTATTCCATGGTGTTAGTTTTGTAGTTTTGTATGTTGTCTTTACATGTTGTAAGTTTGTACAAGTGATAAAGCTGTGTTCTGTAATGGGATGAGGTATCAGGTCCTTTTTGTATAATTTGGTTTTCCAAAACAAACCCTTTAGGCTACTGAAATTATCTGATGTCTCTGGACCAAAGCTTACAGCAGTCCAATTTCTGTGCCATGTACTGAGCAGTTAGGGGTTTGCTACTGTTATACAGTTCAAGAGCATCTGTTACCTTTTGGATAGGGGGGCTAGCATTGCAGTGCTTATACAGCAGGATGACACTGCAAGACTCTCCCACCCTTCTGAAAAGTGTCAGCAGCTATAGAATTGAGTGGTACAATAACCTTTACATCTTCAAGCCATTTAGCCTCATCAGTCACCAAGAATGCTGTTCTTATCATAATGTGATTTAATGACATGTTTCCAGAAAGATAACATAGTCCATATTCAGAGAGCTGTTTGGCTGAATTGATTTTTCAAGAATCATGGCTTTGTTGTTGAAGGGAAGATTCAGTCATCTTGCTTTGCATGTACCCCTACTTATTGAATGGTACAGTATGTGGCAGTGTTCCTTTTCATTAGATAACCCACTTATTAACCATCCAGAGTGATGGTAGTTTCAGGCCATAGTCACATTAAAAGCAAAATATCTAACCTGTATATCCCTACTGTTCTTTCAAATCATTACAATGTGCCAGATTCACCAATGTGCTCTGGCTGCTTTTCATTGCAAACAGGTGAAAACTGATTTTACCGATCAGTTAAGCCAGTTCTATAGACTCTATAGATTGCCAGAGCAACATGTTTCTCAGGCAGGTTGTGCTAGTGAATCTTCTCCTGTGATTCGTGTTCTAGCCATAACTGTTTTATTTTTTCCTCAGCGCTGTTTTACGTTTATGGATCGTGGTTCTGTGTTCAGGATGATCAACAGCTATATAAGCATGTTTGGAGCAGGAGTTCCCAAGGTATTATGTTTTTAAAAAGTGAATGGATATCAGAGCATTTTCAGTATTATATTCAGTAGTTTGCTCTCTGTTCAAAAGTAGCCAATAGAATTTGTTTTTAGTGTAAACAGTGTTTTACAAATTTAGCCTCAATCCTATAAAAAGTACCACTTGTCCAGAGTTGTCTACTCACTTGAAGCTGCTACATTCAGTTTATTTTCTGAGATTGGCTAGGCTACATAACAGATATTAATATATCCTCAGAGAAAAATACCTGTATGCATCTGGCTGGCTTTTCAGGATCAAAGGGCATGGGTGAGGCCAAATCTGGAGTATTGGGTTCGGTTTTGAGTCCCCCACTACAGACAGAATGTGGACAAATTGGAGAGAGTATAAACCAGTGAAACATCAAAGTCAATGGCTCAAAGTCTAGTTGGCAGCCAGTAGCAAATGGAGTGTCCCAGTGGTTGATCCTGGGGCCAGTTTTGTTCAGTATCTTCATCAGCAGTCTGGAAGATGGGATGGAATGCACTTTCTGAAAGTTTGTGTCTCTATCTGTCACTTAAAAGAGCTTATAGTTGCTCTATGATCTCTCTAAGAATTAATTTTATGGGAGGAGTAGTAGATAGGCTGGAGGGTAGGGCTAGGATTCAGAGAGACAGAGACAAATTGGAGGATTGGACCAAAAGAATTCTCATGAGGTTCAATAAGGACAAGTGCAACGTCCTGCACTTACGATGGAACAATCTCATGCACAAATACAGGCTGGGGGCTGACTGGCTGGGCAGCAGCTCTGCAGAAAAGGACCTGGAGCTTAGAGTGGACAATAAGACGGATATGAGCCCTTGTTGCCAAGAAGGCTAATGGCCTACTGAGCTGTATTGGTAGGAGCGTTGCCAGCAGATCGGGAAGTGATTCTTCCCTTCTATTCAACACAGGTGAGGCCAAATTTGAAGTACTGTGTTCAGTTTTGGGTCCCCCACTACAGAAAGGATGTGGACAAATTGGAGAGAGTATAAACCAGTGAAACATCAGTATACAATCTGTAAAACAGGAACAATTGCTTTACATGGGTGTTGCAAGACTAAATTCATTTACAATAGTAAAGCATTTTGAAAGTAGTTTTTAAATAGGAGATTTCTATAGAAATGGCAAATATTATAATTAATTACTAATTATTAATATAGCATGATAATTAGTTTTACCCTCTTATCATTTCAGTGCTCATTAAGGTTTAATTACATTTTAATGAATACCCTATTCTATTAACAATTGTAAGGAACGATTGCAGTAGATGATACATTTTACCAAAAACACTAGAGGCCAAAGCTCATTAAAAACTATAGAAAGAGTTTGGATTGGGAGTATATCACTGAAACAGTATTCGTTTGGTAAAAGGATTTGGGTTGGAAAGGAAACACAAAGCCATTGTAATTTTTTTTATTTAATACCCAGGGCTGGATCAGTGAGTGATATTGATTATGAAAATGATTGCTACAGTTCTGGCTTATGTGAACTGGAGATGATACTTCTTATCCCCCAAAATTTTTAATTATAACATATGCCGTTAAAGGGAGCCAATGGGAGGTTTTAAGGAGAAAGCTGCTTTAAATAGGTAGCTTGGCTGAAGTACTACAGGATGCGTATTAAATCAGGACCAGTATGAAGTACACATGGTTATAATAAGTGCCGTTAAGAACCTGGAAGAAAATTGAGTATTTAATTCTGAATTATAGAATTGTATAATTGACCAAAAGTTTTCACTGTTTGATGGGAACGGTTTTAAGAAAAAGAGAACCATTGAGACGCATCTTATTTAAATATTGGTTCTTTGTTTACCTGGATGTCAATACTAACTATTTAATATTATTATGTTTCAGGTTTTGTATCAGTATAAATTTGATTTTCTTCAAGAAGTTTGCCATCATGAACACTTTATTCCTTTGTGCCTGCCCATACGATCGGTACACATTCCAGGTATTAGTTTACCTCCTCCATTGAGTTCTCAAAGAGAAAATTAATTCTTGAGAGATCACAGGACAACAATTAACTCTTTTAAGTGACAGCTAGAGATGTTACAAGACAGCATGAAAGTTCTGAATGATAGTTAGGTATAATTTTAATAAGAAACAGTTGGAGTCTCACAAGTTATACCTTTAGTTCTTCTTATCTCAAAGATGCCTGCCAGTCCAATTAAAACGTGGATCAGTAGCGGAAGCTAGATTGCTTATGAAGAGAGAATTATCAAAGCTAATATTCATGCCTGAGGTGGCTCCCAGGCCAAGAAAAAAATTAGAAGCTGGGGCAGCAGGAAAGGCAATAAGTGAGACCCTGTCAAATTCATGGTAGAACTCATGGCACTATTGCCTCCCCACTTGGGGTTCACTCCTGATTGTCAGGGAGGTGAAAACTGCAGTTTAAAATATGGTGCCATTTTTGCCTTACATCACTGATTGTCCAAAGCGCCCGGGCAGCCCTGCTGCTTGCTGCTGACCAGCAGGGAGGTAAAAACAGAGCCATGTTTAAAATCATGGTTTTCACTTCCCTGACAATCAGGAATGAGCCATGCGGGGAAACCTGCAAAATTAAAGGAGCCGTAGCACAGCCCACTTCTGCCATGAATTTGATAGAGCCCTAGCAAGAAGTCAAAGCTAAAAAAGAGATTGGAAGATATCCTCTTAAACTGGGAATAGCAAGGTGACTTGGGCAGCTACTCTGATAACCTTACAGCTACTGTAAAGTTATCAGAGTCCAAAGCTATTGCTTGAAGGCTGTAACATGGCAGTCATGAAGCATGACAATCTCTGCCTATGTTTAAAGTATAATGTATTGAAAAACTTAAATTTATCTTAGTTATCTTTTGTACTATAAAAAAAGACTAAAAGTATGTTTTTCTTGTATCCGGGTTTTATGGAATAGGCAGTTATCTAAAGACTTGAACAAAAGCATGCTAAGTCAATGGGAGCCTTTCCACTGAACTGAAGTGGGTTGGGAATTAGCAGATAGAAAACAAATACCTGTTTTGTATTTAATCAGTAATAATGTTTTTAATTTGATTTAATAAAAATATATGGTTCTTACCATTATACATTTTTGTTGACTCAAGACCCAATGACGCCTTCAGAATCAACGCAGGAATATCATGCATCAGGTAAGAATCAAATTACTTAATCTCAAGTGTTATGGTTAAACAGACAAGACTGGTCTCAGGAGTTTTGTCTGAGTCCTAACTCTATTACTGAACTGTGGTGTTATCTTAAGAAGCCATTTCAAGTATCTGAAAATGAAATCAGTTTGGATCTCAGTGCTTCAGTGTCCTTTGCCATAAGATGGGGATAGATACTTGGCTTCCAGTGGATGTCTGGAGGCTCACTAAATAGTTGTAAATTTATTTGAGATCCTCAACTGGAAAGCCCTTTAAAGTACATATTTCCATTTATTTATAATTTTTGAAACTGTACAAGTTAAAGCCATGTTAATTACTGTGTACCTAACTTGTTCTGAAATGATTTACCAGGATAAAGTAAGCAGGATTTGGCCATCAATGAAAGCATGATTTACTTTATGCCCCACACATGCATTTGGTTATATGGATCATTAGATATGAAATAGTTTAATAAGATGGCCTGGAGAAATACTGGAAAAAGTCTTTATCTAGGGAATGGATGTTAACATAGTTGATTTACAAATAAAATAAAGTTCTTTGTCTGTTCTATTCCAGATATTCCAGAATACACCCTGACCAATGAATTTTGTCGCAAACATTTCTTAATTGGATTGCTGCTCCGGGAGGTTGGCTTTGCGCTTCAAGAAGACCAGGATATTAGGCACCTAGCTTTGGCTGTACTTAAAAACCTAATGGCAAAACATTCCTTTGATGATCGATATGCAGAGCCGGTAAAGGAACTATTTATTCTTTCTTTTGATATGTTCATGTGCTGTACCATAGTTGAAAACTTACACAGCTATCTGTCTATCCTGAGTCATTTGTTTGCATCTTTTCAGGAGAAGCAGGCACAAATAGCAAACCTGTACATGCCACTCTATGGCATGCTTCTGGACAATATGCCAAGGATTTACATGAAGGATATGTTTCTTTTCAACATAAATACATCGAACCAGGTAACATAATGCAATTCTTCATACCTTTCAAAAGGATAATTTTGGTTTTGATGTCACTTACTTCCTTCAGTGTTACCTAAAAGGAAGCCAGCTCACAAATCTCAAGTGGATTGGCCCTTATCAGACTTCAGAGTTCCAGGAACTTATCTGAAAGAGGAGAGCTGGTCAGAACTTTTTGTGTGAAATAAATTTAATCAAAAATACAGATTCACTGAACTTGAAATTCTTCATGAATGTCTTCAGTTCAATAGACTTTTGTTAAATCTAGTGCAATGTTCTCATGGAATTGCCCCAAGGCTGGGAACCCAGTACTTCTGAGGGAGGCACAATAGGTGAACAGCTCATACCAAGATACTCCTGTGAACAGACCATTTTTATCTGTGCAGTTGATGACAATGCCAGTTTTGCTAAACAGCTTCATAGTCCCAGAACAAGTTTACACTGGTGTAACCTACAGTGGTTTTGTGTAGTAGGCAACCATAAATCCTCTGGAGCATGGTGTACATGTAAGTCGAGTCACCAAGACCCTAGATGTGTACAGCTAGGCAAGAATATGGAGGAGTGAAGCCTGCCCAAGACCTACCATCCCCCCTTTTAGACCACTGAGACAGAATCCAAAGGCCAGATAAGAACTGCTGCTGACTGCCTAACACCTCAGCGAAGGCACATTTCTGTCAGGGTGATGTCTCTTAGCCTTCCTCCAACCAAGGAGTACTCACAAGGCAGTGAGGGCTAGGGTTTTGAGGCACCCTATACTTGCCTTACTCTGGAGATTGCAACATTGTAGTATTTTATAGAAGCTACCCCACCAGGAGTACCCCACCATGTGCCACCAAGCCCTCCAGTCAGATGCAGTTTAGGGTCACAGTCAGGATCCAGTGGCTTTGTACAACTGTGGTTTTGTACAGCAGTATAAAGTACACCAAGATTACACTGGGACAACTTGGAATAACACAAAGTAGGTAACTATTACAGGGCCTTACTATTAGGTGATGCAGGCAGTAATCTGTTTGTCATGAGTAAACAGCTACCCCGACACAATTTGCAGGCAGACAAAATCAACACGAGCGTAACTTACACTCATGTAATATTATCTCAGATTTTCCTAGAGTAATTTTATAGAAGATTTGGGTAAGTTAGACAGACTTATTGCTGTGCTTTGTGTGTCTGCCTTTGCTTACACTGTTGTAAAGGCTGATTATGCCAGTGTAAATATGTAGTGTCCAAATATTTGATTTCTGATAAAATATGTTTCAGCATTTTCAAAACAAAAGAGAAATTCAGTCCATGGGAAATTCTGATAAATGTAGTTTATGTATTACTTAAAATTCTGGAAAAAGAAATATTCCTGCAATCCAGAAAACTGACTTTTTAGCCACCTCTCAACTGGATACCCTAAGGATTGGGAGAATAAGGAATGATAAGAAGGTGCATAGAGTGAGGGGTTTGTACTGGATTTCATTTTTAATTTTGGTTTAGTTGCAGCTTTGAAAACATCTATGCAGTTAGGTTCACAAAAATTAGTGCTGATTTTCCATAGGGCTAGAGGAGAGCCTTGCTCCTGCCCCTGCGACACAGAGGTCAGGATAGGAAGTATATACCAAGTCCACATGACCTTAGATCTAGTTCCTTCACATAGTTATCATAGAATCATAGAAAGTTAGGGTTGGAAGGGACCTCAGGAAGTCATCTAGTCCAACCCCTTGCTCAAAGCAGGACCATCCCCAACTAGATCATTCCAGCCAGGGTTTTGTTGAGCTGGGCCTTAAAAACTTACAAGGATGGAGATTCCACCATCTCTAGGTAACCAGTTCTGTTGCTTCAACACCCTCCTAGTGAGAGAGTTTTTCCTAATATCCAACCTAAACCTCCCTTGCTGTAACTGCTCCTTGTTCTGTCATCTGCCACCACTGAGAACACACTCTTTGGGACCACCCTTCAGGTAGTTAAAGGCTGCCATTAAATCCTGTCGCTCCCTCCCCACCCCCCAGTCTTCTCTTCTGCAAACTAAATAAGCCCAGTTCCCTCAGCTTCTTAGCAGTCATGTGCCTCAGTCCTCTAACCATTATTGTTGCTCTCTGCTGGACTCTCTCCAACTTGTCCACATCCTTTCTATAGTGGGAGGGCCCAAACCTGGACAAAATACTCCAGATTTGGCTTCACCAGTGCATAGTGCACCAGTGAATAGAGGAGAATAATTACTTCCCTTGATCTGCTGGCAGTGCTCCTACTAGTGCAGCCCAGTATGCTGTTAACCTTCTTGGCAACAAGGGCACACTGCTAACGCATATCCAACTTATTGTTCACTATAACCCCCAGGTCATTTTCTGCTGAGCTGCTGCTTAGCCAATTGGTTCCAAGTCTGTAGGTGGTTCACGGGATGCTTCCATCCTAAGTGCAGGACTTTGCTTGATGTCTCCACAAACTTGCTGAGGGTGTACTCCATCCCATTTTCCAGATCATTAATGAAGATATAGAACATAACCAGCCCCAGGATTAAGCCTTGGAACACTCACTTGATACCAACTGCCAACTAGACCTTGAGCCATTGATCACTTCCCATTGAGATTAACAATCCAGCCAGATTTCTGTCCACCTTACAGTCCATTCATACTTCCTTAGCTTGCTTATGCAAATGTTTAGTATTATATTGGCAAATATCCCCTCCAGAGTCAAGGGGACTACTCATGTGCATAAAGTTAAGCACATGCAGTAGGGTTTCAGTGTATGTTTTCTATGGGAAACATAGCTAGAACATTCCATATGGATACACTGAGAGAGAAGTCAGCTGCTTAGTCTACCCCATGAGACTTTCACTGGCCCTATGTAGTAGTTTTAGAGAAATGGAGCTGCAGCTTCTCAGGCTAATCTCAGTCAACCATCTTTTGATATCTGTCACACTGGAGTCATTTGGCTGGTGTCAAGAGTGTAGAATTTACATGTGTAGGGGGAATACCCAAACTGTGCCCACCATGTTGCAATTTAACAAAGGTAAATGTAAGGTATTCCACCTAGGAAGGAGGAATCCCCAGCACACCTACAGGTTGGGGGATGTCCTCCTCAGCAGCTCAGAGGCTGAGAGAGATCTTGGAGTAATAGTTGACTCCAAGATGAACATGAGCCAGCAGTGTAATAAGGCCATCAACAAAGCCAATTGCACCTTGTCGTGTATTAGCAGCTGCATGACCAACAGATCGAGGGAGGTGATGCTCCCCTTCTATGAGGCACTGGTCAGGCTGCAGTTGGAGTACTGTGTCCAGTTTTGGGCACCACACTTCAAGAGGGACACGAAGGATCTGGAGAGGATTCAGAAGAGGGCCACTCGCATGATTAGTGGTCTCCGTGAAAAACCCTACAAGGAGAGGTTGAGAGATCTGGATCTCTTCAGCCTGTACAAAAGACATTAAGGGGTGACCTTGTAGCCACCTATAAATTTATATGGGAAGAACAGCAGGGAATTGGGGATGCGCTGTTTACCAGAGCACCCCAGGGAGTAACTAGGAATAATGGGTGCAAACTAGTGGAGAGTAGATTTAGGTTAGACATTAGGAAGGATTTTTTTACAATAAGGGTGGCCAGAGTCTAGAATGGGCTTCCAAGAGAGGTGGTGCTGTCACCTAACTTGGAGGTCTTCAAAAGGAGGCTTGACAATCACCTGGCTGGGGTCATCTGACCTCAGTCCTCTTTCCTGCCAGGGGCAGGGGGTTGGACACAATGATCCATTGAGTCCCTTCCGACTGTATAATCTATGAATCTTTGTTGCTTTATATCATCTACTAGATGCGTTATTTGTGGAGATTAGATATGCTCTCTGATCATAAGCAGGCTTGAAAAAGAGTAGGCAGCAAGGTTGGGCCCTAGGCAAACAAACTATGCACCTAGTTGCTTTGCATAGGGCAGCAGCTACTGCTGGGGCTTGGAGCTGCAGCATGCAGCTCTAGAAGGGGAAAGGACCTGGGCGGCACTGCAGTGGCACAGCAGTGACACTGCTGCAGCAAAGCAGGCACAACTGGGCCCCTTCTTCACCTAGGGCCTTAGGCACGTGCCTAGTTTGCCCATGCGTTAATCTGGCCTTGGTAGGCTGTTATATTCCTCCATAACTTTCCAGCAAGCCAACCTGTTTCATTTGACAGTAGCTAGTGCTGTTTAGTACCTTCTTTGTACACATTATGCACATTTTTGAAGAAGTAAATATACTCCTGGATCTGATCTGTCATTTGCAACTCTACTTATGAGAGGGTTTAATATTCTGTATAATTATTCAGCCTTGATCTCTACAGCTGCCTTGTCTAATCAGTTGAAAATAGGTTTTCAAGTTCAGTGTCTGAAAGATCGTATCAGAGGCTATGTAATTATAAAATTAATGAACACACTGTGTGAGCTTTTTCTTCTATTTACTTTACAATGCAGGGATCTAGGGATGATTTGAGCACTGCTGGAGGATTTCCAAATCAGACAGCTATGAAACATGCAAACTCTGTGGATACATCCTTTTCCAAAGATGTCCTGAACTCTATAGCAGGTACTAAAGGAAGACTCAGAGCAAACTCTCATACATTTCTGTGCATTTCACTCCATTGTGCTTTCTAATAAGTATATTCCATAGAGAATGCCATCATTAAAACATATTGTTTGTGATATCCAAGGAAAAAAGTTATGCAGTGTCCTTCCTCGTTTCTTATATTTCTAGATTTATTTTATTATGACATTACCCTGCTTTCATTGGTTTCCTTATTCTACTGCCTCTGGTTGATTATATTGACCTTTGGCCTTTCACTAAGCCCTGGGCATGTGAAAGGCGTATTAACCTTTGGCCTTTTGCTAAGCCCTAGGCATTCCTGCAGTAACTCAGGCTTTAAAAATATGTACAGTACAAAGATTCTCCTAGAATACTAAAAACTAGAGTGGGCAGTTACTGCTTTCTTTTCAACTATGTTTGGCATGTCAGAAATTCATGCTCAGAAGAAATTATTGTACATGTGGATTTTTAATGAGGCAAGCACGTTTACTGTTTCAAAAGTTACTGGAGGCTTGGAAATCCCATTTACTTTGTTTATTTCACTCAAGACCTGTTCAAAGCCTGTTCAACTCAGTCGTCCTACTGATTTCAACATACTTTTGAATCTGAATCTCATAGAATAGAATGTAATATGTTTTTAAATACCATGAATAACAGCAGTCTGTATCATATTATTTCAACTTGTTGCATGTTTTCAGTCCCCTAAGTAGTCATCAATAGCTTCATTACAGAGATTGACAAGTCAAAGCACTAATGTCAATCTGTATGCCATACAACATTTTTTGTTGCTATTCTTAGTTTTGTATCCATACATATCATTTTAGCATGTTTGCTATGACTTTCATTTACAGCCTTTTCATCAATAGCTATCTCTGCAGCAAACCATGCTGACTCCAGAGCTTCCTTAGCAAGTCTTGACTCTAACCCAAGTACCAATGAAAAAAACAGTGAGAGAACTGACACCTGTGAAAAGGTACATGTATAAATGGCTGCAAACAATTATTAGAGTTGAAGAACTTATCTGTATACTCAAAAAGCCTGTGTACTGTCAATTCAACAGATTGTGAGACCTGTATCTTTGATTGGATCAACTTTGCGGTTTGACAAGTTAGATCAAGCAGAAACGAGAAGCCTTCTTATGTGTTTCCTTCACATTATGAAAACAATTTCAGAAGGTAAAATATCCCTGCTTCCTTACATGCATTATTATAAAATTCTTAGAACCTGATCCAAAACCCATTGAAGTTAAGAGAAACAATCTCTCTTAGCCATTTTTGGTTTTAAGTAAGAATCTAGATTTCTAGTACTGGATAAATTAATGTATTTTGCTGTCTCTTTCCAGACACACTGATTTCCTATTGGCAGAGAGCTCCACTCACAGAGATAACAGACTTTTTCAGCATTTTAGAGTAAGTTCATTCCATTTTTTTTGCTTGTTGTCACGGTATATCTTCGAGTTTATCTACACGAGGAAATAGCTTGGAGTAGGTCTTTCACTTTAACTTACACTAGCTTTCACAGTAACTTTCCCATGTAGGAAAAACCTATGAATATTTTGTGTAAAACTGTGGCATGCTAATGGTTAAAGACTGTATTATTCCTTATGTTGACTATTTCTATTAAGAGGATATGAAACTTGGAGAGTATTGTTTCACATCAGTCCTTCCATATGGCATTGAAATTCTTCTCTCCTTCCTAAATCAAAAGATCTTGTGTAATCTGTGGAGCTCATAGTCATCCAGATTGCATAGATACAAGCTGATCCATCAGGTTTCATCTTAGCCCAGACCCTCTTAGCCCAGCTGTCCTTTGCTGGTAAGTAGACCTCAATTCCCTTGCAGCTGCAGTATGAAAGATGAGTAAAGTGAATCTGGCAGGTCATCCTTTACTTATTCTCAGATGTTCCTCTAGGATAGTGGAGAGATGGTCATCCTGCCATCCCCTCAGATTAATCCACCAGTCATGAAGGAATTCCCAACCCTGGGGGGAAGGTATGATGACATGGATTGAAAGTCTCCCATTCTGTAACCCCACTTCTCAAAACCACTCAGTTCTCTATGTGTATACTCTCTAAGTACCATTTCTCTATGAAAGGTTTGATTTATTATGAGTCTTCTTCAAGTGACCCAGACTCAGAATTTTTACAGAAATAACATGGTGTTATTAGCATAATAGAAAATATTCTGTTTGTCTTTCAGAGTTTGCCTGCAGAATTTTAGATATCTAGGAAAACGCAATATAGTAAGGTAATTATTTTCATTATCCAACATAAATTACAGTGGTATTTTACATATTACACTATGGCTTAACTCTTGGATGAAATTATCAACACCTGCCAATTTTTTCCTAACGGCCTTACTCCAAAATACTCTGGCTGACCTACAGATCATTTCTTTCGTTCATTCTTTCGTTCTTTCAGTCTTTCATTCTTTCTTCCCCTGTGAATGTATTCTGATTGGCCATGTGATTTCACGTAGGCAAACCGATAAATTATGGAAACTGCCACAACACATCATACGGAGGTTTTCTTGACCTTGGTGTTGTTTTGTTTGGTTTGTGTAAATGCCAGATAAGAACAAATAGATCCCTTCAGTTGCCATCATATACCTGGGAAGCAATGGTTCTGTCATACCCTGATGAATGCTCTGCCAGGAATAAAAAAACAGAGATCCTCCTACCCTCTAGTATTTTCTTCAAATCACTCTACAGAAAAATGTAGGATCACTTTTCCAGCTGCCTAAAGTGAAACATGCACTTTTCTTTGGCCATATTGTAATACTTTGTTTCTATTTTCATGCTACAACAATACACTTTTCTGTGTGTGATTTGCCTTATAAAAGTCACAAGTTGCCATATTGACTGATTCATACTCTGTATCAGGTTTCACCAGGCACTTTTTTTTTCTCACAGGCATGAGGAGATTAGCATCACGTACCATAATAAACTTAATGTTTGTTTTTGTTTCACCAGGAAAATTGCTGCTGCATTTAAATTTGTTCAGGCCACCCAGAATAATGGAACACTTAAGGGGTCTAACTCATCATGCCAGACATCTGGTCTCCTGTCACAATGGTAATAATGTACTGTATTATTGACTTTTAAAATCTTAAAGCAAATCCAAATTAAAGTCAGAATAAACAAAGAGGTTAATTTCCATTTACTTCAATTTGGGGTCCTCTTACACTGCCAGAGAGTGGTAAAGTCCCTGGGCCAAAAGTACCTATTTCAGATAACTGCAGACAGTGCTTTTCTTTCCTGTTAAAATAATTTTTTGATCTTTTTTTTTTTTTTTACTTCAGCTGAAATAAGGTTAGGTCTTACTCAATGTTATAAAAGTGTATGACTAGTTACTGCCAGCCCAGTGTTCTTCAAAGAACATTCGGTGCTTTACAGATAAAGTCTCTGTCCCAGAGACTTCACAGTTCAGGCCTCTAGTCCTGCATGTGAGTCCATTTAACTAGATCTTTAGGGCTTTACAGAGTCCATTGGAAGTCACTTGGGCTCTATGCTGATTTAAGAATCAACTTTCATGGATCCAGTAACAGTACTGGGCCCAGAAGAAGGAGTGACAGGAAAGGCTTGCAGTGTAAGCCAAGCTAACTGAGCACTTGCACTCACATCTTGTTACTACCACATTGCTGTGTAGTGCAATCATTAATTATTGTATCTTTGTTTGCTGTTTTGGATCTCTCTTTCTTGGTCTTTTTTTCACAATAATCATCATATTGTAGGAGTGTTTTTTTACCAGCATTTAATGATTTTATCCTATGGCCTCTTGATTCAGTCCAAAAGCAAAATGTGAGCTGCAGTAAATAATTGTCTGGCCACTTTAGGAAAAAATAAATAGGAATATCTCTAACAAGCTAGCAGTATTTGCCTAAAACACTCACCCAAGCAGCATTTTGGGGCTCTGCACAGCTGAGTAAAAAGCAATCAGAACCCCACCCCCAACAAACTAATCTCATTTTCACGTCTGGTACTGGCCAAGAGGTCTTTGAACTAATGCATTAGGAGACGGTTGTTTTTCTGCATGTTTATAGGCAAGTCAGCACGGTGACACAAAAAAGGACACCACCACAAATGAGGCATATTTCAGTTGTCTACAGAAGCTCTTATTATTTGTACTTCCCAAGGCAGCAACTAGCCGTTTTGGCTATGAAAATATTTGTAAAGGCAAGCAAATATTAATGCTGCCCCATAGCTTCTAACTTCCACAATACCTTCAAGTTCTAACTTGCATATATATTTCTGTATTTATTAATGTTTGCTGAATGATGATATATTATATGCATGAGGAGCCAAGTGTTCAACTGATCTCAGGATCAAACTTTCAGATACTCAGCACCTAACTCTTGGGATCAGATTTTCACCCACCAGCTTCCATGCTGACACGGACACGTTTTATCATGTTGAATGGGAAAAGGGCAGGCCATTGATTTTGGTGCCTGAATGGAAGCTGAGCTCCTTTGAAAATATAAATATAAATAACTACAATTTTCAATATCATTAAATGACAACCAGTGAACCTGAGTGGTTTAAGTTTAGTAGAAATGAGACATAAATGTTCGATTTATTGCAGAAGCTGTTTTCAGAAAAGACCTTTTTACTGAAGTCCTTAAGTTGAGATTGGTTGACTTTCTAAATGATGTGCTGTACCTGAATCAGAAGTTATGGGCTTGATGGAGGAACTCATGGAGTAAATGTTGGATGGTAGAGGATTGTTGGGGAAGGTCTGAGGTACAGGATCTGCACTTGGGTGGCTATAATCTTTGGCAACTTTCTTCAGGGTTATGGCTCTTGGGAAGCCCATCGTTTTTAAGTAATAAATCCCTTTTTTACCTTTTGGTGAGCCATGGAGAGCTGAGGGAGGAAGGTTGGAAGAAACCTTTCTATCTCTGCTTCTGAGAGGATTATTTGTTTCTGGGCCATTTAAGTCCAAACTCATGGTTATTCTAATCCAAGCAGAGAAAATAACAATGTGTAAAGAAGACATGCTCTTGAGAAAAAGTATCAAACCTACATGCTTCAGGTTAGGTATCTACTTTGCTATTGAGTCAGTTAAATAAAAGTGACCCAAATTTGAGATGTCTATGCAGCTTCTGCAGTGCTCTTGAGCATTCATGAAAAACACATCCTTCCCATCTTCTCTCACTCCATGTGCATCAGAACTAGAAATGCAGTAGTGAAATCACCATGGCTGCGCCCCCTTCCTGCCATCACTCTCAAGACCTCCAGAGACAGATATTGAGAATGAAGAAAGGGGATGTGTTCATGGTGGCTTCACTGCCTCCTTTCTGGGTGCTAGAGAGTGTAGGTAAGTGAGCTGTGTTTCTTGGTAGTACTTTCAAGAGCATTGCGCAAGGGTGCTTGCAGGTGCCCAGTAGCTCCAAAAGTGAGACCATTTTTATTTTACAACCGGAATACTGTGAATTTACAGGCCTCAATTTTGATTCCTAAATATTGTCTTCAGTTTTAAGTCTCTTCTATTCAGTAAAATAGCTGATTGTGCTTATCAACACAACAAGAATTAAAATCATGTTCATTTTGCTGTCACTGTCAGTCCTGAAATCATTTGTCTCCATTTTTAGAAAGCAATACTCATTGCTTTAGGTATTCTGTTGTCTTAATATTTCTCCGTTTCTCCTGTATTCTGCATAAAAAGAATTAAACCTAGTTTCTTTATTCCCAAAGGCTTATTTCCACATATAGCTCACTTATTTTAGTGGTAAGCAAATGTTGTTATGAGTCCTACTGATTTCAAGAAATCACAGAACATTTCCTGGGACTGTGCCCACCTTATTGACTTATGCACCACACACATTAACTGAAAGTATTTGTATCAGTTGGTCTCCCTTATGACTATTGAAAAGTACTATAGGAAGTGACATGATAAAACTATAGGGACATGACAACAAAATTTTTTTTAAAGGTGCCTTCTCAATTTCAGGATGCATTCTGCTTCAAGTCATGATGGCCACAAACAACACAGATCTCAAACATTACCAATAATACGTGGCAAAAATGCATTTTCCAACCCCAAATTGCTGCAAATGATAGAGAATACCATTGCAAGTAAGTGCAAATGAAATATGTGGATTTATCTCTCTCCGTCTCTCTAATATAACTTTTTCTGTATAGTCCATCACCATAGAACCTAAGGGCCAAGGTTTTAAATGTATTTAAGTGCCAGCTTCTACTAAAATTGATGAGATAAGAACCTAAATTCATTTAAAAATCTGAATATTAGGTGCAGTAGTGCTTATGTGCCTGTGAATAACTGGCCTGTAGCTCTGTAAGGAAAGGGAGCTAACACTTTCTATCAACACTACCTGGAAATAAACACCGCAACATCCTTTTAGAAAACTAAATACACAGCTTGATTTTTCAGAGCTGCTCTGTTTCCTTGGCTTTGGTGGATTTAGGAACCCAAATATGAAAATGCTGGCTAGAATTCATAATACATCTAGCTGATACAAAGTGCCATAAATATTGACTTCAGGGAAACTTGCACCAGCTGAGGACCTGTTTCCTGCCTTCTGACTGAAGCAATAGAAGTGTTAGAAATGGGGAGTATTTTCCAAACCAGTTCCAGGAATATGGTGTGCCTTTTCCTGTAGAAATATTTCAAAATTCTAAATCTTTCAGCCATCTCTGTGACATGCATACTTACATGCATACCAGCAAAGAAGTAATGTTTTGAATGTTGCTTCTTCTCTCTTACTTTGATCTGTATAAATCATATTTTATGAAAACAGATGCATTTGAATCTGTACTGTCTACATAGCAATTTTCCTTTAAGTTTTTTTCCTCTTAAAATTTCTAGTATGCATTTAACTTTACAAGTAATGTGGGTTTTTTAAATGTATCTATTTAACAATGTGAAAATTGAATTGCATATCCAGCAGAAAATATATTGATATTTAGCTGTCATAGCAGATGCCCTGTTTAAAAAAATGTGTATTCTGTTTCCCCTTACTGTTATAATTCACTGAAAGAATTAAAGTGTGTGTAAAATTCAAGTATTTCCTAGCTCGTATACTTCACATACATATTGGAAGGCTATTCGGCTGTTATTGCATGGCTATGCCAGGGAAGAAGCCCCTGTGAGTTCTCTTTCATTGGCCCTGCTCCCCCATCTTCTGCTGTGGACTCCTGATGCTTGTACACCCTGAATGCAAAGAAAGAGAGTTAGGAAACTTTAAAGAGGGGAGTTCAATAGGGCTGTGTGAAACAGCATTGTTCTGCTTCGACTTCCATTTCGACGGCACAGTGTTTCAAGGTTTGTTTTGTTTCGAAACCACTGTTCCATTTTTTCCGTCGAAACTGTTTTGTTGTTTTGGTGTTTCTCCTACCCGGTGCCGGGAAGATTGGTACTGCCACTGGCCACAGCCAGCAGCACCAGCCTCCTAGCATCCAGCAGGCAGACTGAGAGCCTGCACCCCCAGGAGAAGTCCAGCACAGCCCCTGCAGCCCTCCCAGGGGTGCGGGTGAGCTCCCGATCTGTTGCCAGATGACAGGAGGCTGATGCTGCTGGCTGGGGCCAGCGGCAGCACCGATCTTACCAACATGGGCTGTGCCCAGGCAGCAGTGTTGCCCTGTGGGGTCAGGCTAACTCTCAGGATCTCAGTACTGCGCTGTTAGACAGGAGGGTGTGACACAATTGTTCATATACAAACACACAAATCAATTAGGTTCATACACACACACGCTACCAGCTCAGGCACATACACATCCAAACCAGCCTAGGCAGACACATACCTATCACCAATTCAAGCACATACACACTAAAAATTAGACAAAAATCAATTGTCAATACCTGTACACTCAGTACACATACACAGATCACTAATTTGTATATCGTGCACACAATGACATATAAATATATACACACACACACCAGTTCACACGCATACAACCCACCTACACATACACACAGGTAAGTTCCTAACTTGGATGGTACAGTGTATATGTGTGTGCTTGATGTACCTGGGATACTTGGGGGAAGGTTCAGGTGAGAGAGAGAGAGTTAAAGTGTAGGGAGTGAAAGTTGCCAGAACCGGGATTAGAACCGGTGGACTACGGAGAAGCTGGCTGAGGAACTGAGGCTTGGGTTTACTTAAGGTAGATTGGAACTGGAAACTGAGGCAGACAGCTGAGACACTGAGGGGTGGG